TAGGGCAATCCGCTCACCTCAGCCTCCCAAAGGCGCGGGATTACAGGCTGAGCCACCGAGCCCGGTTAAGCTCTCTTTTCAAGAGTTTGGTTTCTTAACATTTTGCAGAAGCAGAATGTTCGGACAGAAAGCACACATGCAGAGTGTGCCGTTCAGTGAACAGACACGTGACCCAGGTAGGCCAGCAGGGAAAGTCACCACCCACCCCGCAGTCCCCTTACGTAACTCCTCCTACCCACCACCCTGCCCACAAGGCAACCATCTTTCAGACTTCTGGCGTTTGCTCCATTCACTCTGCACCTGGCTTCTTCCACTTACCATGATGTCAAGTTCGCTCTTGTCAAGCTGTTCACCGTTGCTTCTGCCAGTGCATTGAGTCATCCTACTACCACCGGGGGCTTAGCTGTTTCCGTCCGGGGGCCGTTACAAGCAGCGCCGCAGGGAACAGCCTCATGCCTGTCTTCTGGGAGCTTGGGTGCTCATCCTTGTCAAATGCGCTCCTGGGAGCAGAATCGCTGGGCGGGGGGCTGTGCCCCTTCAGAGTCAGTGGGTCTGCCCACTGGTCTGCAGGCGTGGCTGTTCCCTCCATCAAAGTTCTTCTGTTTCCACTTTGAGTTAACTGATGCCTGGTAGAGTGCAGAGACCCTGAGCAGGCTGCCGGATGAGCATTCATTCACCCACGTGAGCCTCTGTTTAGCCACCACTCAGGTCAAGAGAGAGAGAGAGAGTTTCCAGTTCTGAAGGCTCCTGTGGTCCCCTCTCCAGTCAAAACCCCTACCCAGAGGTGACATCCCTGCTGGCTTCTATCACTGGGGTGGTTTTTGTATACGTGGAGTCATTCAGCTTGTTCACGGCTACCTTTTTTCACTTGGCGTGATGTCTGTGAGATGCATATTTATCCGTTCACCAATGATGGGCACGTGTCTGGGATCTGTTATCCATTAAGCTCCATTAAACGAGCCTCCTTCTCTGTGGCTTTTGGTGGACATACACCCCTGTTTCTTTGGGTTATGCATCTGCGTTAGAATTGCTGGGACAAGCTGGGCATGGTGGCTCATGCCTGTAATCCCAGTATTTTGGGAGGCAGAGGTGAGAGGACTGCCTGAGCCCAGGGGTTTGAGACCAGCCTGGGCAACATAACAAGACTTGCCTCTACAAAAAAATGAAGAATTATCCAGGCGTGGTGGCGCATACCTGTAGTTCCAGCTGCTCAGTCAAGGCTGCGGTGGCCATGATCATGCCCACTGCACTCCAGCCTGGGCAACAGAGAGAGACCCCAACTCAAAGAAAAAAGGACTTGCTGGGGCCCAGGAAGTGTTCAGATGTTGGAGCAGTTCACACTCCCAGCCTGACACTTACGAGAGTTCCAGAGGCTCCACATCCCCCGTCGGCACTTGACGTTGTCTTTGATGTCACGGATGTTCTGGGGGCCCCGGGCACGTCACTGTGGCTTTACCACAAGGGTTTTTGAGCATCAGGTGAGCTGGTACGCCAAGAGCATTAGCAGAGCCTCCTCGCACGTCATAAACACCACTACGTGTTAGCTTAGGTCAGGGCAGCAGTGTTTTCTGGAGAGGGCCAGGTACTCAATGTTTTAGGCTCCATGAGACGTACAGTCCCTGCCACGCCCACTCAAGTCAGCCACTGTAGAGAAAGCAACCAGAGATGAGACGTAAACCGGTCAGCGCGGCTGTGCTCCTGAAACTGTGTGTACAGAATCAGGCAGCGGGCCCATGCGGCTGTGGTTGGATAATGCCCTTGGGTGGGTAATGATGGTGACAGCCGTGGTGATGATGACGAGGAGGAGGAGGAGGAAGAGGCAAGATCGAGAGCGATGTTGCGTCCAGACTTCCCATTTTAAAACCAATATGGAGGCTGGGCGCAGTGGCTCATGCCTGTAATCCTAGCACTTTGGGAGGCCGCGGTGAGAGGATTGCTTGAGCCCTGGAGTTTGAGACCAGCCTGGGCAACATAGCAAGACCTTGTCTCTGGAAAAAAAAATTTTTTTAGACAGCTGGGTGTGGTGATGAATGCCTGGAGCCCCAGCTACTGGGGAGGCCGAGGTGGGAGGACTGCCTGAGCCCAGGAGGTTGAGGCTGCGGTGAGCCCTGATCGGGCCACTGCACTCCAACCTGGGCAAAAGAGTGAGACCCTGACTTGGATGGATGGACGGGCAGATGGACAGATAGATAAATAGATGGAAACTAACAAGTCTTCCTGCCCCATCTGAATTCTCAGAGTCAGCTCCATCATCCCCTACAGCTGATCCGTTCTTTCTCCGGACTGTCAAATCCACCTCTCTTTCTCTTACCCATCTGTAGCCACTAGCCCTGGTCCTGGCTTACCGTGATAACCCAGGGCTCTCTGGCTTATTGTGACAACTTCTCAGGGCTGCCCTCTCTGGTTTATCTCTCTCTGGCCTGCTACCCAAGACCCCTAGGCAGCAGTCACCAGGGAACAGGCAGTCACACCAGCAGGGTAGCAGGCTGGGAGTGGGTGCACAGTAGGGTGGGGTGGGGACTGTGAAAAAACGTATCTGTCCAAAAGCAGCAGCAAACTCTCAGATCAGGCTCACATAGACGTGTTGACCTGGGGCGGCCAGGTTTCCTGATTTCAACAGAAGCCACAATTTTGTATTTTTTTTTTTTTACCAGTGAAGTCTCCTGATTTGTAAATATTGACACCAGACTTTTCTACAATCCCGCGTGTTTCGAGCACGCCTGGTCCACGGGTCTGCGACCTCGGCAGCCCCTTGTGTTGTTCCTCAGCAGACGCCCTCCGGGGCTCGTGCGTGAGTCTCCCCCGTGGAGCAGTGAGCTCGGGGTCAGAGCTCGACCTTGGCACATATATTGCGACCTTGGATGTGCTACTTCCTCCCAGAGCCTCACCTCCCAAGTCTAGAAGATGAGGCCAGGCTTGCACACTTACCATGCCCCTCTGTTTCTCGGCCCCTGCTGTGTGCCCGGCGCGGAACTGGGTGTCTAATATGGAGGACTTCCAGGGTTCACAATAGCCGGAGGAGGCCAGTGGCCTAGTCACACGCAGTGACATCACCCGCCCACCCCTCTGCAAGTCTCGCCAAGAGCCTGCTGTGTCCCAGCCCCAGGCCAGGCCCTGGCTGCTCCTGGGTGAACAGGAGCAGACCCGATCACGGCCCCTCTGGAGCTCACAGTCTGGCATGGGGAAGGGTGTGGCAAACTGTCACGTGATGCACACACGTGTTGGACTCAGCACACCCCCTCACAGTGGAGAAGCACACATATGTGTGTGCGCACGCTCACACACACATACCAGACCTGTCTCCTCTTTTGTCATTCCCGCTGGGAGCCATTTCAACTACCAGGCGAAAATCTCAACTGAATTTATCCAAGTCTTATCCATCACTTCGTCTGTGAAATCTTCCCTGATCACCCTAAACTTCAGGGCAGTTTTTTTTTACATTGGGCTGGGCTCTTTCAGTTGTTTGTATAGCTATTCAACTCAAAATGGCTTCACTGAAGAGGAGATTTATTTTATTTAGCTGCAAACCCAGCAGCCGCGGTATCAGGCATGGCTGGATCCAGGAGCTCAAGTGAACGCCTGAGAAGCTAGCTTCTCTCTACCATCTGCTCTGCTTTCTTCCCATCTCCTGGGAGCAGGTGGCCTTCCTCACACCCTCCCGGTCCAGCTGCAAGCAGGGGTCTCTCTCCTGGGATTCCCAGCAAGCCTCATGCATCTCCTTGGCTCTCATCAGTCCCATACATGTCCTGAGCCCATCGGTGTGGCCAGGGGGTGATGCGGTGTCTCTGTACAGAGGCTGTAAGTCACATGCTTGGCTCCTAAGCCAGAGGTGGGACCGCAGGAGCCCCGCCCTGGAGACTGGCTGAGGATGGAGCCCCAAATCAAAATGGAGAGCGGCTGGGCGGGGTGACTCCTGCCTGTAATCCCAGCACTTTGGGAGGCTGAGGCAGGAGGATTGCTTGAGCCCACGAGCTTGAGACCAGCCTGGGAAACGGCGGGACCTCATCTCTACAAAAAATTTTTAAAATTAGCCAGGTGTGATGGCACATACCTGGAGTCCCAGCTACTCGGAAGGCTGAGGCGAAAGGATCGCCTGAGCCCAGGAAGTCGAGGCTGCAGTAGCCATGATGGCGCCACTGCCTTCCAGCCTGGGCAACAGAGTGAGACACTAACAACAACATAAAAAACCCAGCACCTCCGCCGGGGCTGGCCGCCTAGACTTGACAGCAGTGACACGCCGTCCCGCTTCTCTTCTGGAAACCCCGGCAGCTTGGCGTCCCTCCCACCGCCGACAGGTCATCACGCCGACATGTGGACTTCCCACGTGGAGCCTGATCAGTCCATGCCAGTCCATGCCCAGGTGGCGGAAACCCCATGGGACAGTGCCTGTGCGGTGCCCACGCCACCTGCCCCGGCTCTCGCTCTGCACCCGGTGGCCTCCCTGGCCTCCCAAGTGGATTCCTCCGGGAGCCTGGAGGGGGTTCTGGACCCTAGAACTCCGGGAATGCAGATCACAGTTTCTTAGGGCTGAGCACGCCGTTTCCTCTCCCCAGCCTCCACGCGGGCGGAGTCTCTAAATATCCTGGAGAATCGCGCCCTCCTTAAGACTCCTCGCCCCGTTCGCGCCTGTCTCCAAGCAGCCTGCCGTGAAGTTATCCTGGGATGTGCAGGGCGGTGGGGACGTGTGTGTCCTCGCATCTGCCCTGTCTCCTGGCCCTCGCACATCTCCCTGTCAACGAGAAGCGTCCCGTGGGGGAGGGGGCGGGGATGCCGGGGTCCCCGGAGACCAGGGGCCTGGGAACCGAGGCGCCGTCGAGGGACGGGACAGGGTGAGGTCAGCACGGGCTCGGGTCCAGGGTCCAGATCCCCAGGGCGGCAGGAGCCGGGCGTTGAGGAGCTGGAGTGAGCTCGGCAGAGCCTGCAGGCCGTGCCCAGGCAGAAAGCCATTGCTGGCCTCCAGGGCCTCGTCGGGAGGCCAGGTGGAGAGGAGGCGGCTGCCCTGTCCAAGCTCCCCTCGGAAGGCCGCTAAGGACTAAGCACCAGTCACGGATGCAGCCGTGGGCAGAGGCCACAAAGGGCGTCCAGATGTCGGGTGGAGAGAGGCAGCGATGAGGAGAGGCTGAGGAGGACGCGGGCTGCCCCCAGAGGGTTGGGGGAGGCAGGGCGGCTGCTAGCGGGAAGGGGAATAGGAACAGCCACAAGCTGAGCCGCCCAGAGAAGCTTCCAGGCAGTGGATGAAGAGGGCCTTGGGGAGGAGGCTGCAGGGCACGGCCACGTGGGACAGCCTGGCAGACTCTGAACATAAACATGCCTCCCGCCAACCCGGCTTGTCCCCCTCTGTCTTTCTGGAGAAGCCACGGTGTGGGCAGCAGGGGGTGTGACCGAGCGGCAGGACATGCTTTGCGTCATAGAAAGACGTCGACAAAGTCCAGCAATGCGTGGAGTGACTCAGTGACTCGAAGCATCCCCTGCCCAAGGACCCTGCTGGAAGACGAGGCAGGTCTGGGTGGAAAGCCATCAGGAGGGCTCAGGGGAAGCCCAGTGAGAGGGCAGGGTCAGAACCCCTGGGATCCTTGGTTCCATGCCCCCTCCCCGCAGCCTTCCAGGACCACCCTGTGTGAAGGGCACCCCAGCACGCTCCTTCCCCGCCTGGTCGCCCTCTGACACGTCCCACCTCGTGCGTACGACGGACTCATTTGTTACATGTTGTCTCCTCTCACAAGAACCCAAGCCCAGGAAAGGCAGGAGCATCCGTTTATCCTGTCCACCACTGTATTTGTCAGATGGATCAATGAATGTGCACGGTAGGATGTGACCAATGTCAAAAGATGCACAGAGCCGGGCTCGGTGGCTCAGCCTGTCATCCCGCGCCTTTGGGAGGCTGAGGTGAGTGGATTGCCTGAGCCCGCGGGTTCGAGACCCGTCTGGGCAGCAAGACCTCATCTCTACAATAAATCAAAAAATCAGCCGGGCGTGGTAGCGCCTGCCTGTAATTCCGGCTACTCAGAAAGCTGAGGCGGAAGGATCGCTGGAGCCCAGCAGGTCGAGGCTGCGGTGGCCGGGAGCGGCCACTGCACTCCAGTCTGGGTGACAGAGTGAGACTCCAACCTACAGAGCCTGAAGTATTTACTATGTGCCCTCTCCTTAAAAATTTTGTTTGTGGGGGAAGGCGACAACAAAAGAGGGACCTAACAAAAAAATACAAAGGACTTGGCTCTAGCTCTGGGTGCACTGCTATTAGTTCTGTGACCTCAATTTCCCCCTCTGTGAAATGGGTATGGTGTCCACTTCTCCAGGTTGCCAGGAGGGCCAGGGGAGCTACGGCATGATAACAGGAGCCTGTGTTCCTACAGGCTTTCTGGGTGTCAGGCTCCTCCTAAGGGCGTGACTCTCTTGGCTAGTTGCTATCCAGTATCACCGCGGCATCTGAAGAAGGGACGCTTAGTCAGGCCCATTTGCAGGTGCAGGAAGCCTGAGTGGTCCCCAAGGGTGAGCCCATGGGCCTCCAGCAAGCAGGCGATGGAGCCCGGATTCGAACCCAGTTTTCTCTGACTCCAGATCCATTTTTGTGAAATGATTTTGCTCCCTGAAGGGCCAGGAATCCCTTTCTGAGCTGAACTGTGAAGGGGGATGGGGGGCAGGGGGAGGTGGAGGGTTGGGCAGGGAGGCGTCCTGGTTCGGAAGGAAAGTTAGAAAAGCATGCTGCCTGGGAGGCCAGACTCGGGGAGAGCCCTCCACTGAGCGACTCCCGGTCACTCTGTGAGGACATCAGGGGTGGGCTTGGGGACCCCTGCGACAGGTGCAGCCCCCACTCCACTGCTCCCTCAGCCGCTGGTGTCCGGGCCCAGACTCAGAGTGGTCCAGTGCGGCTCCGGTCTGGACTGGACCGAGTTCCAATAGCGAGTCCCGGGAGCCGGGAGAGATCCACCTGGGGAGAGATTTGAGGCGAACGCGCCTTGCTCACCCAAGTCCAACAGGGGCAGAAACCCAGGTTTCCGTCGGGCAAAGGGGGAGCACTTCTCCTCCTGGAGCCTGCCTCTCCGGCGACCCCACCTGGCTGTCCACGGCAGCCACGCCCTGGGCCCCCGCCTCCCTGCTGGTGCTCGCCCTACCTGACCCCCCCCCAGGTAGCCGGAGGGATTGAGAGTGCGTGCAACCGCCCTGTCCCATTCTCTTCGCCCACCCCTGCCTGGTTCTCAACTCTGTAAGTGGAAGTGGCTCCCTGCCCGGGACTGAGCCTCATGGGGACAGGGACCACTACTGCATCCCCAGCCCTGGGCAGGGAGCCTGGCACCTGGTGTGGCACCTGGGTATCGGCATTGCCTCCTGGGCTCAGGCAGCTCTTTTTCCTGGCTCTGCGTCATCCCAGCTCTGTGTCCCTCCCCCTACCTCCCAAACCAGGACCCAGTGGGGGTGGGGCGTGCCTGCCCCGTCACACACGTCCGGTGGCTGGCCACGTCCCGTCTGCCTCCCAGACATCGCTGGGCACTGCACTGGCCACCCTGACCCAGGCCCCTCCTCCTCCACACTGATGCCTGGACTTGGCTTAGGTACTTACCCGGAATACTCAGCAACCCCGTCCTCACTACCCAGCGGTGGCATCGGGACCGTGTCTTCCCACCCAATCCGCATGGCACTAGTGAGCCAGATGTCACTTCGGAGGCCTCGTGGGAGAGCAGGGAAGATGGAGCAGAAGAGGGCTCATAGGTGGGCACCTATGCCGGGCGCAGTGGCTCACGCCTGTAATCCCAGCACTTTGGGAGGCCGAGGCGAGAGGATTGCGTGAGCCCAGCTTGGACAACATAGCAAGACCTCGTCTCTACAATAAATTTTTTAAAAATTAGCCGGGCACGGTGGCAAATGCCTGTAGTCTCAGCTTCTTGGGAGGCTGAGGCAGAAGGATCGCCTGAGCCCAGGAGATTGAGGCTGCAGTAGCTGTGATTGTGCTACTGCATTCCAGCCTGGACAACATCCCAACCCAAATATTTAAAAAGGACAGGCCATTCTTAGACATGCAGCACCTCCACCAGCCCCAAGACAGCTACTCACTGCCTCATGGAGAGGTAGCTGTGGACAGGGTCCAGTGACAAGAGCTTAACACCTGTTGGCACTGTAGATCCGGGTGCCAGCCGTGAAAGGGAGGTACAGTCGCCACCCCACACACACTCCCCGACCCCAGACATCACAGAGAGGGCGGGAGCCCCGGGCGGCCCTTCCTGGATCTCATTTCTCTCCCAGCCCGTCCCCTGCCCCTGTAGCCAGTGTCCCGAGTCGGCCTCGTCGTTCCCACTCGTGCACTGACTCCTCTGTCCCATGCCCAGGCATCCCAAGCAACATGTGCCATTGCTGTGTGTGTCTTAGGCTTTCGACCGACGAGATGGCGCCCTGCGTGCCCTCCGCAGCCTGCTGGTCTCAGCCTGTGCGGCACGGTGAGACCTGTCCGTGCTCTGAGGTTTACCTGGGCTTTAGCTGTCTGATTCGTGTCGATCCTCGTAGCTCTTGCTTATTTCTTTTCACCCCGTGGTGTGTCCTCTCCCAGGATTGGAGGTTCACGATCACTTTGTTTTTAAAATGCTGAGTTGCAGCCACCCAGGTGTGTCGTTCTAAGAGCCAACCGTGGAGGGGAAGCACCCGGTGGAAGCCCATCGCCGGCACATGCCTGGCGCCTGGTGGACACGTGGCACGGGCACCAATCTTCACCCGATCTCCTGTCTCTCCCGCCCCCAGGATTACCTCACCGACCTCATCACCAACGACAGCGTGAGCTTCTTCCGCACGTCCAAGAAGATATACCCGCACCGGCCGGTCCTCCTGGTCATCAGCCATGCGGCCCCCCACGGCCCCGAGGACTCGGCCCCCCAGTACTCAGGCCTCTTCCCCAACGCGTCCCAGCACATGTAAGCCCAGAGCCGCTGGGGGGCCGGAAGGGGGCGGGCAGGCTTTGTGAGAGGCAGGGGACAGCATGACGGGCTCTGCCTGCTTGCGACCTCTTGCCTGTCTGTGGTGAGGCCGGTGCGAATCCAGCCAGCCTGGCTTCACACCAAGGCAAGAGACGTGATTTTACAGCTGGGGATCCATGTGCCCCGCCAGAGGCCTGTGGGTGGCATGGCCTGTGAGAGTTTCCCGCTTAATGCCACATGTTTGATTTCATCCATTTAAGAACATTCTGAGAAGGGGTCCCTGGCTTCAGACTACCAGCTGTTTGCCAACACGGCCCGAGCTTGGCTCTGTGGCGGGCTCCCCTAAGCCCTGCACGTGGCGTCAGGTCTCTGAATACTCAGCGACCCCGGATGTATCTGTTATCTATCGCCATGTGACAAGTTACCCCAGAGTTCGGTAGCTTAAGACAGCAAACAGGCTGGGCATGGTGGTTCACACCTGTAATCCCAGCACTTTGGGAGGCCGAGGTGGGAGGATCGTTTGAGTATAGGCGTTTGAGACCAGCCTGGGCAACTTGGTGAAACCCCGTCTCTAAAAAAAAAAACAAAAAAATCAAAAACCACATTGTCTCACAGAGTCTGAAAGTCAGGACTCTGGAGTGGCTGGTCTGTGGTTCTGACTCCAGGTCTCCCAGGCCGCCCTCAGGCTGTCCGCTGAGGCCTGCATCCGAGGCTGGTCTCGACGCCCTGGGCAGATGATCAGGGAGAGGAAACAGGGCCAGGGTACGAGCCGCAGCCCTTTAAGCCCTGCTCTCAGAGGTGACACACCATCCCTCTGCCATGCTCTGTTGGCCACACAGGCCGGGCCTCCTTCTGTGTGGGAGGGACCTCCCTAGGGTGTGAAGACCAGGAAGCAGGGTCCCTTCAGGGCCATTTTGGAGGCTGCCGATCGCGCTTGGGATCCCCATGTTACAGATGAGGAAACTGAGGCACGGGGGGCGAGATAACACCTGAGGTCACCAGCTGCTAAGCAACAAGGCCAGGGTTCAACTCCAGCTCCTGCTCCTGCTCCCCATCTCCGCCCACCCCCGCAGTCCTCCATCCAGCGGGCTGGCAAATCTTTCTGGAATGTTCTCCTGCTTTTCTCTTCCTCAGGCCACCTTCTGCTTAGCAGTTGAGACTCAGCAGCCCTGGCTGTGACATTCCGGAGCCACAAGGACAGGGCAGAGCCCGCCTGAATGTTCAGGGTGTTTAATTTTCATTGCAGTGGGGACTCCCTGCCCTCTGCCCACCCCCCAGCCCTGCACAACTACTGCCCGACAGGCCCGAGTGGCTCAGAGGCTGTGGCCGGTGGCGTGTTGACCTTCCACTCCCCTTCCTCCCTGGCGGGGAGGAGGTGACAGAAGATGACAGACCACATTCCAGGGGCTGCAGGATGGCCTCTTCACTTCCTGGTTCCCCCCAAGCCCAGTCCCAGCCCTCTCCGCCAGGAGGCCAGCCTCCACCCCACTCCCCTCAGGGGCTTATGCTGTGAGACGGGGGTGGCCACCTCAGACCCAGCAGAGGGAGGAGCCGTGAGGGGCGGCACCCAGCAGCCTGGGGTCTCGGGGCGCCGGTCTGACCCTGCCATGGCCTGCCTGCTTACCCCCCTGAAATGAAACCACAGGAACCGGAGAGAGATGCTCCCTGCACCTTGAGGGTGTGCTCGCAGACTCACCTCTGGGGGAGAATCAGTTCCAAACAAAACCAGAAAGAAGGAAGTCCTGCTACCGGGCTGTTTGGTCCCGGCAGCTGGGAGGGGTGAAAGGGGTAGAGCCGTGCCCGCTCGGCTGAGTCTGGGTCTTTCTATCGGAGTCGCCCGGGAGGCTCTCACCCCAGCAGGCTGCGTGCCAGGGTCCTGGGGCCACTTCATGGAGCCGGACAGGTGCTGCTGGGGACATTCCCGTCACCCCAGCCCCAGGGCCCCTCACCCACCACACACACGCAGAAACATGGAAATACAGACACACAAGCAGACACATACGCAAAGGGACACACACATGCAGCCACACGAAAGACATACAGACATACACAGATATGCAAGCATGCACACGTGCACACACACACACACACCCCCATCAGCCCTCGCCTTCCCTTGAAGTGTGGCATCTGACTTATGCCTGGGAATGTTCTACACGCGGGTCAGGCCCTGAGATGCCAGAGCCGGCCCACAGGCCCCAGACATGAAAATGCAGACATACCGCACACACAAGCTGACACATACACAGAGGGCCCGAGGGCCAAAGGGAAGGGGATGTGCCTTCGGTGAACGCCCAGACATTCCTGGGATGCTTAAGGCCGGAAGGCGCCCAGGCTTTGTTGGCAGCCTCCAGTCCTGTGACATGCCCATGCCCTCCCTGGGGGAGCCCAGCCCTACACAGGCCACCAGCAAGGTGGCCTCGGCCCCATGCACGGCCAGCTCTGTAGCCTCCTGGCCTCTAAGTCCTTCTCTGAAGCCCTCTCAGAGCAAGGACTGCGGAAGTCCTGACCTGCTCAGCCTGGCTGTTCTGGGTCCACACCAGCCCTCCTCTGCCCCCACCCCACACCCGCTGCTCATGGCAGGAGGGCTAAGAATCTCAGCCTGGAGCCTGGCCGGCAGGAATCTGCCACACCTTGCAGCCCCCTGGCAAGTCCTCGAGGACAGAGGCCAAGGGCGGAGTGGGCTCATGTCTGCACGCGGGGCAGGCCCCGAGACGCCAGAGTGGCCCACGGAGCTTCTGGAAATCGGAGGCAGCGTGGGCCCTGCAGGGTTAGGGCAGGAGGCTGCGGGTCAGCCGGACTCCAAGGCCAAGTCCAGGATTCGGCTCGGAGATGGTGACTCCCCTCCCACTCCACGCAGCCACGGCGTCTGCCGCTGTTCAGAGCTGTGGTCTCGTGATGTCAGCCCCAGGACTTGTTCATATTCGAAACGCTGCTGGGGTCCTGATGCGGCTGCCCGAGGGAGGGGCATCTGTGCCCTCTGCCAAGGCAGCTGTGCCCTGCTCTCACTCCCTGAGGCCCCTTGCCCCTTAACGCCCGTTTTTCTCATTTTGATTCAGGGTCTCACTCTGTTGCCCAGGCTGGAGTACATTGGCACACTCATGGCTGCCACAGCCTCGACCTGCTAGTCTTAGACAATCCTTCTGCCTCAGTCTTCCAAGTAGCTGGAACGACAGGTGCACACCACCACACCTGACTCATTTTTTAAAATTTGTTTGTACAGATGCTGTCTTGCTATGTTGATCAGGCTGGTCTCAGACTCTTGGGCTCAAAGGATCCTCCCACCTTGGCCTCCCAAAGTGCTG